TTCACCCCCCCCCCCCAAATTTAGGAATCTCATAATCGTTTCTAAAAAAAAGTCTTATAGTATTTCAGTTGATCACTAGCAAGCTTACCTTTTCTATAAAGAAATACATTAGTTCACTAACTGGTGGCTACTTTGTTCAGGCCTATTTGGTTGGCTGCCTGTGAATCCTTAGAGATGACTCACGACCGACTGGATTGGGTTGCTCTCGACTGTTCTGAAAGTGACTGAAAGTCTCTGTTCTTGACTTTCATTCCCATAATTGTCTGAGCTACTTTAAGCCAACCATTCCCACTTCCGATGATCTAGTTAGGTAGTGCTGCTTATTAATTTCCTTAGAGGAGTAGTCAGGGATGGAAGGAGTGCCAAAAGTTTTGCCCAGAATCTAAATTTCTGGTATAAACCCTTTCCTTCTGCTAGATAACAGTACAGAATCTTTTAGTTCTTAGGCTGAGAAGCAATGATAAATGAGCCTCGATGGTGAAATGTGTATCAGAAGAGTGTTGTCTTTCTGCTGTGAGTAAATTGCACTGTATGATGCTTGCATGAGTTAACGTCCCCTAAATACACAGTTTGCTGTTTGATATATTTTGTAACTGAATGTTACCAGCTTTTCCTGCTAGTCTTGCTGAGAACAAGTTTGAAGGTAACTTTGCACATTGCAGCTGAACTTACCTATCAGCTCCAATTGCCGAGATCAGATGATCCTCCTGCTGCAGACAACGTGGTCATGTATCTCTCTTTGTGTAAGCTGTCATGTTCAGTGGAGCCAATGCAACTTGTGAACCCAGGAAGAAGTTAGTTCTTCTCTGACGGGTTTGTGAGTTGAGCAGGCTCAGCAAAGCACATGGCAGGGTGGGGGAGGAAACAGAAGCAAGATAGAGGCAAAGGAGGAGGAACAGGTTTCCCCTTTGGGAACAGTGAGCTGTTAGATTTTCCCCAACTATAACATGTAACTTTGTGTTTAAAATTTAAGAAGAATGTTAAGGTACTCGAATGCATCCAGAGGAGGGCAACGAAGCTGATGACAGGACTGGAAGGCATGTCCTGTGAGGAGCGGCTAAGGACTCTGGGTTTGTCTCGTTTGGAGAAAAGGAGGCTGAGGGGCGACCCCATTGCTCTCTGCAGCTTCCTGAGGAGGGGACATGGAGTGGGAGGTGCTGATCTCTTCTCCCTGGGATCCAGGGACAGGACACGTGGGAATGGTTCAAAGCTGCATCAGGAGAGGTTTAGACTGGACATGAGGAAGCATTTCTTTACTGAGAGGGTGGTCAAATCCTGGAACAGGCTTCCTGGAGAGATGGTCGATGCCCCGTGCCTGGCAGTGTTAAGAGGCATTTGGACAATGCCCTTAACAACATGCTTTAACTTTTGGTCAGCCCTGAAGCGGTCAGGCAGTTGGACTAGATGATTGTTGTAGGTCCCTTCCAGCTGAAATATTCTTCCAGCTCTTCTGTTCTATCCCATTCATCTGTTTATCACCTCTAAAATAATTTGCAGCAAGGGCAAAAGCCAGCCCCAAATTAAATTTATGTATATTGCTGCTCTTTGTGCTCCAAGCAGAATTTTACATACACTCTTCAGAGGTAAGGGACAAACTGTGCTTGTGCATGTGTTTTGGCAGGTTATAGATGGGGCTGACTAATAAAAAGAAGTGGGTTAAGATCCTATGTATTTGATACATCAAGGTGCTTTCCCTTTTCACAAATACAACTTCTTTCTTCAATTGCCTGCTCTGCTTCTAGGCTGCAGCTTCCCTTTGAAGCCAGGACATATCAAAGATATAATTGGCGGATCTACTGACTTATTAACTGGAGGCAAAGTGCTCCATTGATCCTTGAAGCTGTGGTGACTGGTTCACCTCAGCTCACATGCTGCTTAGACATCAATACTCCCTGGAAAGAATGACTATCATGGCTATTGGTGTGAAATACTGTGCATTGTGTCACTGGAGAAAATAAAAGAGCATTTTAAAGCAAATGCATACATCCTAGCAAGGCCTCTGGATGATTTTGTGGGTTTTTTTGAGGAAGATGAAGATGCTGCAAGCACAGGCAGTATGTTTTTAACTGAGCAGTTGGGAGTAAGAGAAGCTCAGACTTTGATTGAAGCTGTTCTGTTTTTTCTTTCCAGTTAGCTGCCTTTTCACAGCTGGGCTAAAAACTGTCCCTGTGCACCTAGGGCTGTGCAGGCTGCAGCACGTGCAGAAGGGGGCCACGGGCATTGTGGGGACCCCTGGGCTGGGGCCATGAATGAGGGCTGGGCACCAGCGCAGACCCTCGGGGTGAGGGTGGGGGCTGGTCCCCATGACCATGAACACTGTTGTGCTCGCAGGAAAGGGCTGAGCAGGAGATTGGCTTCGTTCGGTCTCCTCCACTTCTCTCGTCTCAGCACTTCGGTGTTTGATGTCAGGGTCTCCAAGGCTGGGGGTGTGCGGGGCAGCCCCAGCGCCGCTTGCTGGGTGCCCCTCTGCTCCTCACAGCCCTTCTGTCTCAGGACACTGAAGGCATACGAGTCTTGGCTACCAGATGTTCAGGTTGAACTGCTGCCTGCGTTGGTAGAGGTAAAATGAGTACATGGAGTAACTGGAGAGAGAACTCCAGTTTAAGCCGTGTTAGCAAGTCATTTTTCTCTATGTTTAATTGAGATATTGAGCAACAGTGATGAAAAGGACATTTTCCTCTGCATGCATGGATTTTATCAGTGTTTCTTTGAACATCTTAGGGGCCAAAAGCAAACAAAACATAAGCCACTCACATGACAAAACTTCAATATGTTTCTCTGCTACACAGCTTGGCTTAAATAAGTATATTCCATCTCTTCTATCATCATTTATGTTTTTGTACGTAGAACCAACTCTGCTTCTCTATCATTTATGTGTGAATATGCTATCAGCAGAAACAATATATACATATGCTATATATAGTCTGTATCTATATGTAGGTATATGGAAATCTGACGTGGGCATGACCACCACCTGAGCTTTGAAGCTGTTTGAAATACGAACCTCTGTCTGGATTTGAGTTTTACAAATAAAGCAGCTGTGGACAAAGCTTTGTTTCTTTTGTGATCACATTAGGACATTGGTTTCCAGTGCTGATGGCCGCATCTGCTAGAACTAAACTGAAAGGTGCATGTGAAAAATCTGACTGCAAGAGAAGGCCTGGGAATTGGGGAGTGGAGTGCTGGTGCACCAGCCCTCTGTGAACCCTCTGGGGCGCAGGGGCTGCATTTCCACTGTGTGCTGGGGTGCAGGTGAAGAGGAGGTGGAGAAGGAGAGGAGGCCACCTGGGGTTTTTGTTGTTCTCTGGGAAGGATGCACAGCGTGACTCTGCCCCAGGGGTGCCTGAAGCTTTGGCTCACCTTCCTGGCCAGCTCGGTGCTCCAGCAGTTGCAGCGCAGCTGACACTGTGTTGGCACCTGACCGTGGCCCAGGGGCTCGGGGCTGGCCACGGTGCCTCCCTGCTTCCAAGGGACAGTGATCTTTCTGCCAGCTGCTTGATGTGGTGCTGTTTTCCTGCTTCACTTCTTGTGACAGGAGTCTGGGGCCACCTGATAGCCTTACAGTTTGCTAATGCCTGTCCTTTCTGTCACCTGCACTTGTTGTGCTGTTTGTGTGTTCGCTCTCTGGACTTGGGTCATACAGGTTCCTCAGCTCTATTTTCTCCAACACATACGGTGTTTATAAATCCAGCATCAGCAGCTATATGTGGAAGAAAGTTGACATTTGGGAAACAAAACTTGTAGTTTTAAATTTCCTCGGTGCTTATTTTCCATAGATTTAATTGCAAACTAACAAATTGGCAGATGAGTCACCTGCTGGTTGCTGCGCTATCCCAGCCCCAGCTTATGTGGAAATCCTGCTGAAATGGCTCAGACTGTCTAGGGAAAATGAGCCCTGCCCCCTTACCATGAACCCCATGCTTAACCTGCTCCCTGAGCTCTTCCCAACACGGAGGGCATTTGGCAGGAACTGTGGCTTACCAGAGCTCGTCACGCCATTGCCTCGTGTTTCCAGATAAACACGTGGCAAAATTTGAAGCCAATGCAGAGTCTGGAATTGCCCTCCTAGGTGAAAGGTGGCACAGTGCAGGGCACTGGTCTGACCACCGTGAAATAAACCTATTTCATGACAGCGACTGTTCTGATCCACGTGCGTGTCCAGGCCTGAGTGTCCTAACACTGAGCGTGGCCCAGAAGTCCATATTTCATAGTAGGGATGTAAGTGTGAAAAAATAATAATGAAATGCAACTAGAATAACTGCATCTGATCTGGCCACTTGGGATGTGTCTGTTATACCTTATTTCTCCAAATGCTGAAACATAAAAGATACAGATACTGTTCTCTGCAATGGCAATTTGCCAAATTGATTCTGATTGCTTCTGAAAGAGTGATCAATGCAAGCAAATAGTTCTACATTGCTCTTGCCTTGCAAGCGAGTTACCCAAGCAGCAGCAGCAGCAGAGTCAAGGTCACGCTTTGGGATGCACACAGCTGAAGCAGTGCCTGGCAGAGGGGCTACTCTGGCCACCTGCCCCGGTCAGCACTGCATTTCTACAGGCTCTGGAGCCACAGAATGGTGCTGGGTGTGGGCCAAGACCCAGACACACAGCCCTGCCTGTGTCTCTGAGGACAGGCAGCCCCGGCTGTCATTCACAGCAGGCTCCTGGGAGGATGGCAGCAGGAGCCGTCCCTGCAGTAGGAGCTGCGGCCGCCAGACCTGGCGCTGTGCGCAATCCTCCTACCCCGGGTGGGGAGCAGCCCCTGTCACCCTGCCACACTGCGCTCCCACAAAAGCCTGACAGAGCCCACTTCCAATGAGCACTCAAAATTGGAGGAAAGGAAAGGGAGAAAGTGTAAGTATCGCACATAGCTTTGTCAACCCTCCTCCAACCTTCCTGGAAGCCCACAAGAGTTCACACCCCTGGCCCAAGCCTGGGGCATGTTGTCTGATGGGCTGAGTGAGCCCAAGGCATGCTCTGTGCACCAGGGCACTGAAGATACAGACGTGAGCCAGCAATGTGCACTTGCAGCCCAGAAAGCCAACCGTGTCCTGGGCTGCATCACCAGCAGTGTGGTCAGCAGGTCCAGGGAGGTGATTCTCCCCCTCTGCTCTGCTCTGGTGAGACCCCCACCTGGAGCACTGCATTCAGCTCTGGGGTCCTCAGTGCAAGAAAGACACGGACCTGTTGGAGTGGGTCCAGAGGCCACAAAAATGATCAGAGGGCTGGAACACCTCTCCTATGGAGAAGGGCTGAGAGACTTGGGGTTGTTCAGCCTGCAGAAGAGAGAGCTCCAGGGAGACCTTCTTGCGGCCTTTAAATATATAAAGGGGGCTTATAAGAAAGACGGAGAGACTTTTTACGAGGGCCTGTAGTGACAGGACAAGGAGCAACGGTTTTAAACCAAAAGAGGGTAGGTTTAGATCGGACATAAGGAAGAAATTCTTCACTGTGAAGGTGGTGAGACACTGGAACAGGTTGCCCAGAGAAGTTGTGGATGCTTCATCCCTAGAAATACTCAAGATCAGGTTGGATGGGGCTTTGAACAACCTGATCTAGTTGTCCTAGATGTCCCTGCCCATGGCAGGGGGGCTGGACCAGATGACCTTTGAAGGTCCCTTCCAACCCAAACCATTCTGTGAGTCTATGGCTTGTGAAGACAACCTCTCCCTGCCCTGAGGTGCCTGCAGCAGGGCACAAGCTCTGTGCCTGCCGTTTGCATCTCCGTCGCTCTGTGCTCCCGGGGACCATGAGCGCAGCAGTGTCACTTGAATCATTTTGTTTTCTCCAGGAAGGCTCAGCTGGGACTGGCTCTGTCCAGCCAGCAACAGTTCCTGAGAATTCAGAAACATAAATGCTTCCCATTTGAATTCTCAAAATATTGAACCTCTCCACCACAAAAATCGCAAAAACAAAAAATGTGATGGCTAATGCAGCACACTGACATACACTAAATGTGCAAAAAGCAATCGCTTTAGTTAAGCTCCAACTGTCTAGGTCTAGGACTTCCTAAAATGCAGCACAAGCAGTATCAAATACCTTAAACTGTGCCTTATTAAATAAATGTTTATTATTTCATATTGTTCAGCCTCTGTAAAGTTGTGGAGCTCTTTTCTGAAAAATGTCTTCAGTTCTTCAGGGAACTGTTACTGCAGAGAGTCAATTTTCAGGTTATTTGCAGAATGCCTGCCCTGACTACAGGTTTGAAGTGCTGGAGATTAGTCAATTCAGCATCTTCAACATTTACAAAGTATTCCTTAGTGATCATGCCCTGTTATTACATCGGTGATATGCTTAAACCATTGTTTGTTCTGTACATATATTATAGCTGTCTCTAACGTCAGGATCACTACAAAGAAAATGATGAAAGGCACACCATTTTTCTTTTATCTCTTTTTATTTCCATAAAATCTGCCTTGCTGATAGAACAATCATAGTTGTCTAAAATGTAAAGGAAGCAAATTAAAGAGTGTCATTGCGGTCATAGCATTTAAAACCCATTAATGTTTTCCTGCCATGGAGCGCAACAACAGTTCACTTTGCCATGGGATATATGAAAAGTAGAAAGGTACTTTAAAATGAAGAGAGCTGTTTCTTGATGTTCAAACACAAATTTATGTTATTGGATTTCTTCTTTAAGAAAGAAAGAAAGGTTGTCTCGAATGAGTCACTCACAGTTGATATCATGTGTTTATTGTACCTAGATCCTTTTCTGTTGTGGGGGGGTCCAGTATATTATTTCTGTATATTATCAAATTATTATTTTTCTGAAAAGGTTAATAAAAATAAGAATTAGAATAAATCCGTGTTATCTTTTTTATCCTTATGACCAAGTAAATAAAGAAATACTAATAATACACAAATTTATTCAAAGAGCAGGCTGGATCCTCAGCTGGGCTGAGGAAGAGGTGATGAGGCTGAGGAGAAAGGATGGGTCTTTGGGCCCATCCCTGCCATCCCTGCCTGTTCAGACCTGGCTGCTCAGCACCCAAATGACCTCATGAGCACAGACCAGGCATTCACCAGCCTACATGTGGTCCAATCCATAGGAGCCTTGACAGCGTCTTCTGTGCCCATGCCCCTGCCCACCTTCGTACCCCCAGCTCCCTGGCTGCAGGGTGGGACCCCTCCCATGCAGCACAGCCCAGCCATGTCCTTAGCAGAGGTTTTCCTATGTGAGCCTCTTCATCCAAGAAAGCATTGCTGACAGAGGTGCATGAGACCTCACATCAGTCTGCTTTATTTGCACTTTGTTCCCAGGGAAGGGACAGGGTATGTGATAATGCTTCTCGTGCCTTCTCCCCTGCCTGGTGCATGCCATGTTCACAGCTGTACTGTGAGTGAGGCTGGGCTGGGTGTCCCATGCATGGGGGGTTGCAGGTGGTGTGTCCCTCTGCTCTATTCTGGCTGTAGGTTTGTCACAGTTACTGTTTTACCTGGTTTCTCACTGCTGTGTTGGTGGGGCTCTCAGCCACCACTGTGTCAAATTTGCTGCTCTTGCCACTTTCTACATTTACATATTGGAATATTTCAGCATCTTTGCAGTGGTTTGGCTTAGTTTTAAATAGATGTTTTGGTTTTATTTATTAGGGATTGGGTTATTCTGCTTCAGTGCTGAGTTCTTTTTCCAGTCAGGTTTCCCTTTGCTGAACTGTTTGCAGCCCAAGCCTAGCTGTGATCCCACGAAAGACACGCCAGGGTACATAACGCACTAATTCATGTCCCATTAGTCCAAAGGTGCTAGCAGGGAAAGGCACACGATAAAAAGAGCAACTGCCAGCCCAGGCCAAGTAAATCCCGGGAGTTGGAGGGGACATGAGCTATGGCATGCAGACGATAATCCTGCCTATGAAAAGTCATCAAGGCCTAGAGTTCCCAGTGATCATGGCATAATAAATATGTCAAGGAGCGGCTTCTTCCTTCACAGCT